CGTGTTGTGTTACACCGAGTTCCACGTAGGTGTCAGCAGTGCTTTCATGTTCTTCTCCAAACAGTGTAACGCGTATAGCTAATGCACGCTGGTGAGACTGAAGAGCTGCTTGGTAGTCATGCATTGCGTGTTGTGTTACACCTAGTGCCCTGTAGCTGTCAGCAGTGCTTTCATGTTCTTCACGAAACAGTTTAATGCGTATAGCTAATGCACGCTGGTCAGACTGAAGAGCTGCTTTGTAGTCATGCATTTCGTGTTGTGTTGTAGCGAGTGTCTTGTAGCTGTCGGCAGTGCTTTCATGTTCTTCTCCAAACAGTTTAATGCGTATAGCTAATGCACACTGGTGAGACTGAAGAGCTGCTTTGTAGTCATGCATTTCGTGTTGTGTTACACCGAGTTTGCTGTAGCCGTCAGCAGTGCTTTCATGTTCTTCTCCAAACAGTTTCATGCGTATAGTTAATGCACGCTTGTGAGACTCAAGAGCTGCTTTGTAGTCATGCAATGCGTGTTGTGTAACACCGAGTTTGCTGTAGCTGTCAGCAGTGCTTTCATGTTCGTCTCCAAACAGATTAAAGCGTATAGCTAATGCACGCTGGTGAGACTGAAGAGCTGCTTTGTAGTCATGCATTTCGTGCTGTGTTGTACCGAGTCCTATGTAGCTGTCAGCAGTGCTTTCATGTTCTTCTCCAAACAGTTTAATGCGTATAGCTAATGCACGGTGGTGAGACTGAAGAGCCGCTTTGTAGTCATGCATTGCGTGTTGTGTGACCCCGAGTGAAGTGTAGCTGTCAGCAGTGCTTTCATGTTGCTCTCCAAAATGCGTTATTCTTACCAAAAGGGCTTCCTGGAGTGCTTGTAGAGCTTCTGGGTAGTTCAGTTTTTTCTTGTAAACTTCAGCCAGGTCTTCGTAGCTCTTGGCAAGTGCCTCATTTTGTATATGGATAAAGCCGCTTGATTCTTCTTTCAGCCCACATGAACTGTTTTTGCATTTTTTCAGTAGTGTTTGGTGGTAATTGATTCTTGAGATGTATAGTTTTACAGGGTCTTCAGAACTTAAAAGCCACAAAACGTGCGTCACAATTCTTTGGAAACTAAGCAAACCAACTGAAATTTTAACTTCTCTTTCAACACTTTGTAGTATCTGGAGAACCAGGCTGCTTGTATATTGGTTGGTGTCAGAATCAGAAAAGGACTTGGTTGCTTCGCTTAATAGAAAGGCAATTTCGCATTTAAGCGGTTGATTTCGACAGACTTCCGAGTCGCTATGAAAATGAATTTTATTGGTAGTTTCCTTTGTTTCCCTTATCATCGATGAGATGACAAGTAGATCCAAATCCCCAACTCCACTGCATTCGATTAGTGCCTTGTCATAAAACTTACTTGCGTTAGAGAAGTCATTCAGGGACCGATAATAAACGGTAAGTATCTGAAAAATAAGAAGCTTAAGAATTTTTTGCTCTGGGTTTTTGCAATTGTCAAGTGATGACAGAGCCTTCTTTAAGCACTCGACTCCGATCTTTGTTTCCTTTGTAAAAAGGTAACTGATTCCCAAGTAGCACAAGTACTTGCCTCTTTCGTGTAAAGGGACATTGGGGGATGCGTCTTGAATTTCATTCACTTTAGAAAGAAAATATTTTGTCTTTCCTCCTGTTCCGTACGCTAGCTCTTTGAAAGCTCGGGAGGTAAGGAGTTGACTGAGATATTTTTCCTTCTTATGTTCACTGGCTCCTTTTATGGCTGCATCGTATACGTAATCAAAGTTTTTACCTTCACTCGGACTCCAAAAGAGTGAATCAAGAAACATCTCCCCTCTTACCAAAATATCGAAAACACTGTCAGCTGTTTTGAAATCTGAACAGCCCTCCACTAGACTTTGAATGATGCTTTCCTTATCTTCGTAAAATGCAGTATATGCAGCCATTGAATGCCCTGTAAGGAATTGTTGATTTAGCTTCTCAAATAGTGAAATGTAGAACGCTTTTAAACGACCCTGAGAATCGACAATCGTCTCTTTCATCTCTTGTTCTCCCTTTTCTATTGCAAACAATTGGAGAAGCTTGTGCATTGTGAATGCCCCCGGATTAGAGCTTGAATCGATCAGCGATTTCCTGCGAAAGCTTTGTAATATCTTCATCGATTCGATAGTCCCCGTCTTACCTAAAACAGCTGCCGCCATCTCTGTGCTAAAGTTGTCGGGAAGGATGCTCAAAGATACAAGTGCTTCTTGTTCATGCGCTGTTAGTCTCTGGAAAGAGGAGTCAAACAAGAACTGTAATCGGTGACTAGCTGGGTAATCTGGATTGTCCAACATTCCAACGAGACCTGCTGTCGAAGACGTCATGAAAACATCTAGAAAATGGCGCGGTTGAGCACTGTCTTCTTCAGATACTAAAGAACACATTAATCTCATGGCTAAAGGGACTTGTCCACAGATGTGCACGATTTGAGTGGAGTCTGCAACGCCTGCATTTGGAAGTAATTCAGAAACCAGAGTTTGAGCAGAGGCGTCATCCAGTGGTTTTATTCTTAACTCCCAATGGCCTTGAAAATCAAGGTCCATATAGTCAAGAGACTCTCTTGCGGTTATAACAAATGTAACCTTTTGATTTCGCCTAAGAATTTCGCCAAAAAGTTGTATGGTCTCTTCCTTTAATTTCGGGCAACCAGTTTCTAGCAAATCATCTGCATTGTCAAGAATAACTACAGATGGCTTTGAAATTTCACTGAATAGTAGGCAAATCTCATCATTAATGGATAAACGCTGATCGGGCAGTTTGGTATGTGTGGTGGGTTGCCTCAGAAAACTAAGAAACTTTGAAGTTAGATCTGCTTTGGAATGGAGTCCTCGTAATGAGATCCAATAAACAGGAATTCCTCGAGACTGAACAGCGTGTCCCACTGCAATCGCGACAGACGTTTTTCCGAATCCAGGTGAACCGCAGATCGACACCAGTCGGGTAGACTCGGAAGTCACGTGTCTGATGATCTCCTCACACTCGCTCTGACGACCTGTAAAATTAGGAACCACGGAAGGAAGAGCAGCACTTAAGAAAAATGGCTTCGTACCTTTAAAGGAAAAAACAACGGACATAAAAAGTAAGCGGGAGACACATGCTTAGGTAAATAAATAAGTGGCTTTATCCGTTGTGGAAGTCAGAAATGACGGTCTTTCAAAAGAGTTTAAAACTGCAATTCAAGCAAAAAAATGAAGATTCAGGAATGCCTGCCCCTCGGAAAATTTTGGTTTTGATTAATTTTCTTTTCCTGCGTTGTTACATTCATGACAAGACGTCGAATTTTTTTTTGTTGCATTTTTTAAGTCTTAAAAACTTTTAAAGTGGTGTCATAAGGAGAAAATAAGGGGCGAAAGCCTGTCATACAGGAGATGGCCTTTTTTAGCAACCGTGTTCAAGCGAGGTTGTGGCGAACNACAAGACGTCGAATTTTTTTTTGTTGCATTTTTTAAGTCTTAAAAACTTTTAAAGTGGTGTCATAAGGAGAAAATAAGGGGCGAAAGCCTGTCATACAGGAGATGGCCTTTTTTAGCAACCGTGTTCAAGCGAGTTTGTGGCGAACGTTGGAACGTGAGCGAAGAAACTCGCCCGGAAACACTTGCTTTGCAGGTTTTCCTTGTTTCTGTTAAAATTCTAACACCCGTCGTCAATTATTTAATACAGTGTCGCTTTAACTAACTGGATGCTTTGAATGACTTCAAAGGCCCACCTCAGTACAATCTACATGTATCTCGGTTAGGTTTTCAATGTTCTTTTTTTACTTATACCTGAATTTTTACTTCGAGCATCACGTTCGCGTTGTCCTTCTTTCAACTCATCCATCTTCTTCTCCAACCTAGTTACGAATTCTTTGTTCGCAATATACTGCTGTTCTTGTCCTGTTTTTAATGCCTGTAATAACGCTTTTACCTCACCAACATCTGAGTTCACTTCCTCGAGAAAGCTGATGTACGCTCGAGTCTCGTCTCGTTGTCGCGTTTCCAATGCACGAACTTCATTTGTAGGAAAGTCCGACTCTGTCAAACTACCAACGAAGTCGATTGGGGCTGTTGAAAGACCAAGGGCTTGAAACGCATCTTTGGCGTAATTCACGCGCTGGTCAAAGGTGAGTTTGTTCATGTTAGAACTTGCTGAGTGACAAAGTGAATTTCTAAGAAGGCGAAGCTGATCTACGGCAAGTGCAAAGGTCTCCTCATTGTTTCCACCCGAGCTGAGCACACATGCGTGGAAACTACCATGAGGTAAGGCACGGGGTTTCACGTACAAATCACTAAGCGTGGAGTAGGATCCTGTGCTGGCTGATAATGCAAAAGACCTCGAAAATATTGTAGCCTGGAACAGATTGGTGCAATCCCATTCATTGTAAGACTGGCCAATAGGAACTTTAGTCCTGCCGCCCTCTGCAGTAGCAAACAAATTTCTCACAGCAGTTGAATCATCCCAGAGCTGGAAACCAGGGCGACCTCCATAGGTGTTGTCCCACATGGTTTTAAAGGTCTGCCGTAAGGCTTTTGGGAATTCATTTAACACTAACGACGAGAACTTGAAGAAATTCAATTGCTCGTCACTGAACGGCTGCAGTGTCATCTCCGGTCAGTATTTTCAGCCAGTTGAGGAACTAAATCAAACGCAAGAAACATCAAAATCAGGTTAATTGGCAAATTTAAACGGGACTATTCCCCTAAAATAAATGGGATGGATAAGGTGGCACTTAGTTACGCTAAAAATCGTTGGACGGCTTTTGGTGTTGCTCAACAAAGAGAGGGCGGGGACAGGAGAGAGAGGGAAACCGAAAAAGCACACTGGAACGTATCCTCATGGACACTTCTTGTAGGAATTCCCCCTGAGTTAATTAGCAATGTTATTGTACTGTCAGAATGAGTCTGACGTATTTATCTGATGTTATATAAACGATCGAATAGAATTTATTCAGTGTATCAAAGATTGTGGAAGTAGAATACGTTATTTATTGTTGAAGACAATAACAAATTCTTTAAATTCCTCTATTGAAACTTTGAAATGCTAGACGCCAACGCCATGACTTTAATGTTAATTTTCTCAGTGAAAGCGGACAGTGAAAGGAGGGAAAACCGAAACGATTTTTTCACTAGTGACGTTTTTCGTCTGCGGCCGTTTATTGGTCATACGTTAATATTCAGAAAAATTGTCCCACCAAAAACATGATATCGATCAAATTGCCATTAATTTTTAACAGATGATTTTTATCTGTCAAATCATATTATAGTAAATCTCAGTACGCATATAATAAAGTAACCTCTGCTCTTAGGGTAATATAGCGGCAATTTTCCTTCCTTTAGTTTTCGACATAGACATATTACCATGTAAATTAATTTAGTTAGAACAGGAACTTAATTACAAAAATATGAAATGAAACTACAGAGCATGAATAAAAGTTTTCACCTCACTCTCATATGCAAAAGATCATAAAATGAACATCAGCGAAAAAGGTCCCATGGGTGTCATACAAAGCGCATACAGGTTAAATTATAGGCCCTGTTTACAAGGAGGGAAGGTAACTCTGGTGCTAGGGTTACCCTAGCACTCGCACATTTCTTCGTTTCTTACCTTACTGCTAGGATTACCCTAGCAAGAGGGTTACCCTACGTACTGTCTTGTAAACGCTCTGCTAGGGATTACTCGCCCACCCGAGACAGCTTTCCTCCTTCATGCGTGACCCCTAATATTTTCTTTTTCGCAAATTTAACGTGTTTTCCCTAGACAATTTTTCGTTCAAATCTTGGACATCACAACGAATATTTTAGGGCCTCCACAGACGAGACATTAAGTTACCGACAACTATCTTTTATCGACAAGAAAAAGTCATCGATCGCTAACTATGTCCGATACAACCGTTCTACACACTGGAATATTTTAGTTGTCGATAACAAATAATGTCCGCCAAGAACTTGGAAACTAAGACTCATTGCGCATGCTGGTAATGAAAGTTTCAAAATGGTGGCGTCCGAGGGAAAAACTGGCAGTCGAGAAATTATCTCAAATTATTTAACAATTAATGAATGAGGCTGAGTATCTTATGAACAATTATGGAGATCGAGGATGGTGTTATCCGTCGAGGCCGTAGGCCGAGGCGGATAACACCCTCCGAGCTCTCCATAATTCTTCATATGATACGAAAGCCGAATTCAATAATTGTTTTATTATTCATTCAAAATAATTCCTAGTTTAAAAACATGGCTAAAACATGCTTACCTCCATCGATCCATTGATGTTAAGTTCACCTTCGATAGTGCACGTTTAGTTTGCCCGGCTCCGCAAATATTCTTCAAATAGCAGATGTCGCCCTTCGAGTTGTCTTCTTGCTGTTCTTGCCATGTTTTTCGCTATTTTTTCGCCTAGTTCTTACTCTTGAAACAAGTGAAATGTCCGCCATTTTTCAAGTAATATATCAAACATGAGACGCAGTGTTTCATCACCAGATGAAAGACCGAGAAGAGAGTTGAAAATACGACGCGCAGCGGAGTATTTTTGACGAACTTCGAGGTGTTTCATCTGGTGATGAAACACTGTGTCGAATGTTTGATATTTCTTCTCAAACAAAATCATTTTTGAAGGAGAAATTAAGGATGCAAAAATGAGCAGTTTTTCATCTGATATCCCAACACTCATTAAACATTAATTTCCTTTGAATTTTCTTTATGAATTATTAATGAGTTTGAGAAGTTCACAACTAAAACAACTCCACCTCGTCCCCAGGTCTTCTCGGTTAACGGTGCCTTAACCTGCGAAAACGCTGTATTTTTGACGTCATTTCCTCGTTAAACACAAAATTCTTCCAAATTTGGTCATCAGTAACTGGTTATGGTGAATTAAACGTGGGCTTTTAGCCAATCAGAATCGGGAAAATATTTTGAATGAATAATAATATAATTTATTTGTCCTCTTATTCTCTTGGTCTCTGTCACTTTGGTTGAGAAGTAAACATTCCGATTGCCGTTGAACTTAATCTTTCTATGAAACTACCGTACTTATAATTACTTGCAAAAGCAGTTATGATGGTTTAATGTATTTAAATTCGACTTTCTAGCACTGACTCTATGGTTGTTGTGTAATACAAATTTTCCAGTGACTGTCGTGGTGAATGAAAGGGACATACACTTTCTGTTCTGTTACGATTGTCTTGTTCGTAAATAAAGTTCTGACGCTCTTTATATGCAATTGGTTCTGGAGAAAATATACCTTTCTCGATTAAACGCCCCCGGCCTCAGGGAGCGGCGTTTATTTGAAGCCGGCGTTTAATCGGGGTCCGGCGTTTATTAATGAAGTAACATTTTCATCATTTTTAGGTTGATGTATTATTTCACATTCTTTGAGATCCGTGCGCAGTTTGTCAAGGCGGGACGATTTCTCCCATGGACCCGACCTGACGTAATGTCCCTGTATCTCATACAAACGGTATTACATACGGCATTACATACGGCACGTGTATATTGTAATCAGTATTTATGCAAACAGAACAAAACGTTTAAAGTTTAAAAACGGCATTGTCGCCAACGTCCTTTATGTTTGTATCAACAAACGTTCGTAATAATGTTTGTGTTCTAATCGGCTAATCTTCGTGGACAACAATCTCATTACGTTCTTCTTCGAAAATGTCCGGCTCTAGGTCCGCGAATGGGTCGTTTTCATCTATGGGAGCACCTTGTCCCAGCGCAGCGTAAAATGCCGCGGCCCTTTCAGTAAACTCCTCCCTCCCATTGCTTAGTGGGCCTTCTTTCTGAAAACAGTGTATTTTCTCATCTTCCGATCTGTCAATGGGTGGCGAGATTGCACACACTTGAAAACTCTTCTTGATAATGTCACTTAGGAGGCTTTCCCAGGCCGCTAATATTCTCTTAACACAGCTGTGCCTTGAAGGTGCCTTAATGCGACCCGCTGGAGTAATTTCGTACTCGGTTTCTGCCATTCAGTCATCGTAAGCTATTTGGCACAGATTCTTAATTCTTAATGTTACGCCAGACTTGTTCGTTAAGCATTTATTAAAATAACAAAAGCAGTATACCGTACAGTACGTGTCATAGCAGTGCTTTTCTAGTGAATATCTGTACTTGTTGGCTCGACGCAAATAAACGCCGGGATGCAGTTTTGACCCGGCGTTTAAACGAGGCCGGCAGTTAATCGGGGTCCGGCGTTTAATCGAGAAAATACGGTAATTATTTGGGGCCCATGCCTTAATTTACCTGAGTGCGAAGTATATTCTATTGTTACTTACTTTTGGAACAACAACAAGCTTATTTACATTTTGCTTTAGAATAATAAAAGTTACAGAAGGTAGTTTTAGTCTAACGGTCAGTTACACGCAGTGTAATAAAAGGAAAACTAAAAATACATTACAGGTAAGGAAATGCTTAGCATCTAAATAAACCGTTAGGTTTCCGAGTTAGATACTAGTATTTAAAATGTAGACATCAAGTGCAAAACACGCCAACACTGACACACACACACACACACCCATAAATGAACTGCAGTCAAAGAGTACAATGGCTAAATAAGAAGTTGTATGCGACTATTAACTCTGACAGTGGATTTGCTTTACTAATAAATATTGTTGTACTTTCTTACGAAAATTAAAATGTTTTACATGTTTAAGTTCAATAGGTAATTCCTGCCACAATTTAACAGCCATAGCCAATGTAGTTCGTTTCCCAGCATTAGTCCTGAAATGTTCTTTATAGAAATTGGCCTTTGATGCGTATCTTGTATTGTATGAGTGAACATCACAGGCATAGCGAAAGTGTTCATCAAAAATGTCTGGCAATTGCTTTTTATGCCATTGATGGCAGAATTTGAGCAACTGAAACGCAAAAATGCTTTCAACAGACAGTAAATCTAGCAGGTTTAGTAATGATGGAAAAGCACTTTCAGTGTGTCTGCCATACAAGGTGGCAAAAAACATCAGACGGACAATAAGATTTTGCTTCACCTGGATTTTCTTTAAATTTGATGTAGATGCACTACCCCAGGAAGCAACTGCATAGTTTATGTCTGGATAAATTAAAGTATAATACAGTTGCTTGCGCTGTTTTGGAGAGAGATAACGCCTTAGCCGAAGAAATATCCGTGTATTTTTTGGAAATTCTTGAACAAATATAGGACATTTGGTTTTTCCAAGTCAGTTTTTCATCAATTAAGACACCAAGGTATCTAGGAAAACTAACTACATGCCAATAGGGACTACTGGCGCATGCGCAGTAGTCATAAAAAGGGTCAAAAACGTAGTTACCGGATTTATGCGATTAAACACCGCCCTCGAGTACACGCCGCACCTAATCAGAAGAATGCAGCGTTTAGTCGAGGGTAATAAGAAAAACCTCGGTACAACCTGGAATGTATACCACCCAGACATTTACGATTCTATATTAGCAAAATAAGAGAGACGTAGAAACCTTTAAGAGTGGTTGTCAGAGAAAACCGGGCAAAATGTTAAAAATGTCAACGGAAGGGGGTCAACAGAATAACTTCATACTAACATCATAGATAGGTTAGGTGGAGTATAGGTTCTTCACTGCTCTTGTATTAGAGATACGAGCATCACTTTATTCGACCCC